ACTAACCAGAATTCTCAGCAAGCTGATATTTTCTTCCCGTTTAGCTTATTTGGGACAAGCATTTTGAGGTTACGATAAAAAGATGAACTGATCAAACCTGATCTAGCGTGAATTGTCGGAAATCAATTTTTACGGAAACGATTATGATGGACTGGTATCCGTCTGTAGATTCGCCCATCACATCGAACTTTGTCGATGGACACACGCTCATCATGGATAGTACCGTACACGGTTGGCGTCGAGCCATATGTACATCCAACTGAACTCTCTGCAGCCGATGCAAACTCGAGCGAATGAGACGGCCGTTAGGCAACGCATCTGGTGGCCCATATCTGCCAACTCAAGTGGTGACGACTGAAAGTTCGTGATACGGTACATTTTAACGTTAGTCAGGTAGCGCACAACATTCATAGGGCGCATGTTGGTGCATATTATTACGATTAATTGTTACCAGGTTTGTAAAACGAAAGTCAGAGTCACTTCTTGCATCATGGTAATTTTAACGCTAAAGAATGTTATTTTCAGACAAAAGTATTGAACAGATATGTTGTGACTTGGTGAACGGCCGTACAACTATGAATCGGTCCCTCGGCTTCCTACTTCACCCACCATGGCATACCAAAAGGCACGGTAGCTTCAGACAGCCCTTTGTGGAGACAACGGAAGATTATTGCAACTGTATTTATAAGGTAATCACAGAGTGTTCCACAGGGTCGTGCCAAAATTTCCGTGAGGGATTGAGAAGCGTCGACCTAAAAATGCTCGAACTAGATTGGTTAGCATTCTGACCAATCAGGCCATGCCTGATTGCCCGCACGTGACATCCATTCAAATGACGTGATATTCGGTTATAGGGGGCGGCTGGCCTCCGCACAAGATACAGAATTGAAAGGATTCAAATAACTGGAATATAATATAAGACATACTGTTCATCATTACAACGGAAAGTTAAATTTGACATCCCAGTGAATGAAACCGCTATAACATCGTTACTTTCCGATACAACTGCAAACTTTCATTAGACGTTGTCTGTACGAAACTCTGCGGCGCATTTTTGAGTGGCCCTGAAAGATCTACGCTTTACGCGTAAGGTGTAGAAACGTCTTCGTTTTCATGTAGTGACCATTTAACTGCCGTACTTAAGCCATTCGGCCCACTAGTACCCGGAATGTTGTCTCAACTTTTGATAATAACATGCACCACACCACGGTACAGGCTATATCAATGTATGGCTGCGAGGCGTTGCTTAGGATCTGCATGATTTTAGAGTCTTCTCGGGTTTCACAGCTTTATCTTCATCAGGGAATGGCATCAGAACTGAAGTGATTAAACCTAGGTCGTTGATGGATGCTACGCCCGTCATGTCAGCAGCGCACTGCGTTAGGCTAGCCGTGGTAATCCGAGCAGATGTTACACTAGCAGATTCATTATATACCCAGATGTCATACTGGAACTAAGAGTCCCGTGATTCGACAGTTTCAAACATACAGAAAAACGAAAAGTGTTTGTACTACACGCACGCATGTTCCGGAGATTCGGGTTTCCGAGTCACGCCTAAACTGTCATATTTCTCCGTGTTTCTGTTTCTTTCTATGCTCAATTGTTCATTAGGGTAGGTGCTTCAAGCACACAGAATCAGATGATGGCTTGGATAGCTCGATACACTTTGAATTTGAAATGTTTATCAATTGACGGGAAATCGAGTGTGGCTTCACTGACTAAAGCGAATTCTTGGACCACCTGCTACATGAAATTTATCACGTTATTCACGCCAACGTTAAATTTCTTTGAAACGTCCATCGGTTGTGCGAGTCCAATGTAAGACCGAGTAGGCCGTAACGTAGCCATGGTAACCCAAGGTCAGCAACATAACACCGTCCCAGATAATCGCCGAAATTGCGTCATTTCATGGGGATTAGGTTCAGTTTATTGCTGATGTGTCGTACATTGTCCACTGTAAGAAAATGCCAGTTTCAGTAAACCGAGAAAACTACTGAAATCTTAAAAGTACTGCAAACCCCACAAGACTAAGTAGAGCTAAGTAGTATTTACGCGTTCATGTGCACCGGTCCAGCTGTTCTTCTAAACTTTCAGGCTCAAGTTTGCAGAGAGTTTTCAATCTAATGGAAGATTTTTGTTGGCAGGGAGCTCCTACAACTGAAGCATTTAGTCGGTAGACATGTGAAATTATTCGATAAACAAAGGTTCGCAACTATCAGTGTAATGGTGATACTACTGGTGGGGGAGGCATGTGAGTAGTATGTTTTCTTGTAAATTCGCTTGAAAAGGGAGATCTACTGCGTATTCGTGGATTCGCTTTGTAGAATTTGCTTGGAATTGAGCAACACTCAATGACTATCCAGGAAAGCTCAGGAAGACGCATTCAAGAGAAGGTGGATGTTGTTTTTGTAATTAAGATGCATTTGGGAGTTTTGCTTTCCTGTCCAATAGTTTGTAACTGTTCAGTTGGCATTTTCTAATAAATAACTCCGCAGCGAACGCCTTCTTCCTTTTCATCAGCCTCATGAAATTCGTTCCACTTTACCCCTGTAAAACCCGGCCCATTCAGGACGGAGACTTTTGATCACCGGTATCTGAGAAGTATTCTCAAAGTAATTCTGGAATACCTTTCATCCAGTTAAAACAGCCCGTCGTCGATACTTTCATCGCTTGATTTGAGGAACCAATAAGACAACTTCGATATCGACGAACTGGGCGTGTTCGTCGTTGCTCAAGTACGGCCGTCATCAGAGCAATGAGGTCGAAATCGTTCAATGCCATGCTACCCACAGGAAGCATGAAGGCTTGAGGAACCCTCAGGTTTCCCAAGCTTAGACAGGTGAAGTCAATGTGCCGAGGTTGAGTTCGATCTGCGGACATTTGGTTTGTAAATTCACTCGTTAGCTAATGAGCTAGCTCGGGCTCAAAACAGTTGTCACTCCCGCTCCAAGAATAGTGTTGGTGATGAGATAATCCCCTGAAAAGCTAGTCATGTCCACTTTTAAACCTCTGTCTGTCTATGACCCACACCACTAAGAACAGCACTGAAGCGACGACGATGCCGCCGACCATGGCTCCTTGCCGGTTGCAAGACAACCGCGTCGTCCAAGAAACTGGCTTTTAGCAACACAAAAGACAGTCTAAGTAAAGTAAGCGAAGTATGCAAACGAGTGCAATCGTCGAAATCAGTCCAATTCGGGTTCAAGTAGAACATAGAACAAGTAGAACTCGAGGACTACGCCTACCTGATGAGCTCCAAGAAGGGCGTCGTGGGCTGTCGAACGGATTTTCGCAACCTTAATGAGTAGTTATTACGATCATACAAGTAAAACCCACTTCATCTCTTTCTAATACACTGCCCAGAGTGACACTTCTGATAGGTTCAGGAAAGTAACAATAACAGAGTCGATAAAAGCGATCATATGCTTAAAGTTATGACCCAGTTCTAACCACCAAGTGAACAGTTTTCATGGTGCAAGCCACACCACCCCTGGGTAGTTATTCCATCCACTAGAACAAATTCCATGGTCCTAAAGCTTTCCGAAACAGTTCGCAGACCGGAGCTAAGATTTTCAATGCACCTATTCCTTTAGAATGGCAAGGAAATGTTGGTCATCCGTGTGCTTGTCGCATTGTCTTCGATAGTTTCATCTCTCAGTAAGATGCATTTATCGGAAAGCAAGGACTTCAAACGTGAGCAGTACCCCCTGGGACCTCATTAGTACTTTGTGTTACTTTTCATAGGCAGAATGCACTATATATCTCCAGTGGTGAACATAACAAAGTCTGCAAAGTGAGATCTACGGGACCTCTTGACTCAGTTTGATTAAGGAGAATTACCATAGGTATTGTTTGTTGCCAACTGAGTAACCGGTGTCCAGCCAATCGCTTTGATGGATGTGTCCAACAGACGCTTGACAGCGGAAAACCTGCGCCAATTCCAGGCCGTCTACTTGTTGCGTGCGGCCCAATGGAGACGGTATGAACTTGCTGCTAACTTTAAGGTCACTCACATCTACACAAGTGGTGCATACGGTTGGGTGGCTGGTGTGATTAAGCGCAGACTTTGATTCAAAGATCTTGGATAGTTGAGTGAGGGTAGATACGTAGATATCATCACCATAGACAGAAACCTGCTCCCGACGACAACACTCGTAATCTTGAAAGACTTGTCGACCTTGAGGAAAATTACAGCGGTTTATTTAAAATCGATCCAAAGAAACCATTAGGTGAAATCGGTGCAGCTCATTCGGTTGCACAATATCACAACCAGTAAAATTCCACGTAGGCACCACCTTATTTGGTAAACTAGTGTTTGCGACAGTGTAATTTTACAGGAAGCGTTCAAAAACAGGTTAGAATCCCCCTCGCAAGGCCTAAAACGGGTTTCGTCATCTTAGTTGAGACAAGTTTCACCCTATTTTATCGACTTCATTACTCGAGGGCTCCTGTGTAAGAAGCAGCACGCTGTACTGGGCTTTCGGATCGATCCGGTAACCAAAAACCTACAATCAGTTAAGTCCATCAAGCATTCGAGTAGCTGTCTGCAGAAAGTCGGAAGTAGAACTGCACATCTGCATCTTCTTTTGCTGAGCCTCTTGCAAATATGTCTCTGGTTCTAATCAGGAACTTTGTTCTGCTATGCAACCAAAATTCTGAACTTTTGCACACCAGTAAGGGCTCGCTAACCAGTATTTTGCACGCAAAAAGTTTGAAACGGTGTTCGACTGCTTTGGTATGGATCGGGTGTCGCTGGTATTAACCTGTGATTGTTCGTCTGTTTACCTTTTCTCCTATTCGTTTTTTTACGCCTCGCAGCCAGAGATCTCTCCGATGAGCAGTGACATGACGAATTGGGAAACAGTGTCGTAAACACCAAACATCTGATCCGATTAGTGCTCAGTACCAATTGCCTAACTAAAGGTGACCGCGTAGGAGAACGGACCTCAGCTACAACGGAGTCGAAAAATTCAGTATCGTGTTTTTGTTTTCTATGGCAGTTTTATCCACAGCACAGTTCAAATTCGAATGTAGCGATCGACCGCCCGATTAAGAGGAACGTGAAGAGTAAGGTACTTAAAATCGCCAGGAGAGTGAAGAACATTAACAGGCCATGTCGGATCGCACAACTTCTTGCACCAAGAGGGAAAGTGTGACGTGATCGGCACAGCAGTGTGCACTGAATTCTGAAGATTCGTATCCTACTTTGGGGGCCTTGTGGTTCGTCGCATGCTCCCTCGTGCATTATCTTTCACCTAAAAAGACATCACAAGATACCCGAAACCCTAAACCTCAGTTTTTCTGCACGAATTCAGTGTTTTGCTATCCATACGTGTGGAACGTTTCCAACAGTCACGGAAGCCACACGTAGGTGTTTCGTTTAATTTCATACTACTCGTTAGTAACTATGAATTTATGTGCAAACAGCGGGGGATGAGCGTGTTGCCTCACGGTGATCCGAAGAAATGCTTAGGAATAAGCACGGACCCGCCCATCTCCTTCCAAAAAGGGCACAGGGTATGTCCTTAGGGTGGTTTTTCCCTAATATAAGAAATCTAGAGGACTTTTACCCAGCCGTACACTAGCACGTCCCGCTTCACCTGTATTGTCGTAAAATGGTTGCTTTTCAACACAATCGTGACCAGCCATTGTGACAAACGTCTACCCTTTACGATCACGGGAGGTGGCTCCTGTGACCGGAATACTCATGTCCTCTACCCAACCTGAACAGCCAATGAGGTAGCGTGCCATCATATTTCACGTACGTTGTAGGTGAACTAGCTGGAAAAGAATGTCCTTGAATTTGGGAATTTTTAGAAGTCTTAGAGACGCTTGTTGTTGAATAGACTGCTTCAGACGATTGTATACTACTGTGAAACGGTGTAGGTCCTGTGAACGACACTCAATCACTTTCAGATGGTTTATCCTAAACGTCGCTACTGCCCTGTGAAAAATCATCTCTCTCTAGCATGACTACAGCTGATTGGCCCGTTTTTCACGTATTTCGAGCCGGGATGAGTTGATCGCCTCGTGTTCACTTAGTGACCTACCAGTCCCAACCGAGTTACAGAACCGCCATTTCAGAGTTCTATTTCCCATGGCACGACTCCCCGAACTGCCAGTAAATGTTCCGGGCGATTTATTCACATAGACTGATGGAACCAAGATCCATTGTACCATGTGTAGACAAGGCGAGTTGTAGGGGTCCCCGGGGTCCAAAACACACCTTCACCCGATGCGAAACTGTGTACGTAACCAGTCATCGAGACCATGAGATCTCGCTTCTGAAAGGCTTCCGTATGTGTGTGTGAATTCTTCATTTCAGCTCAAATGAATGGGCCGGGAACTCAATAATTACCTATTTCCATGACTAGGATATACCAGTACAACTTTGTAAAGCGGTACACGATACGAAAATGTGTATACGACTCCCGTCCATTCCGGTAACTGCGAACGGGCTTTTCGTCTCTAAGTGAGAGCCATAAAAAGATTGATATAAATTGAAGGATTCAGAAACTGTTGAGCTGCCGTGTGTTGATTCATCGCCTTCATGCTTGCAATGGAAACGCCGTACTCGTATCTGGGTGTATCCACGCCATGAGATGAGTGAAATGAACGGAAACGAGGTGCCAAAAATGATTTTATGCACGAAAAAACAGACGTGAAACCTACAAATGATCGAGAAAATGGCCAAATATGGCTCAAAGGGGAAATCAACTGTCGACTAATAATCAAACCTATGAAAAATTCAGTGGAAAATGGCGAAAAAATGGAACTGATTGCACGGTGTGGTAGAATGCTTCATTGGGTCCCGTTCACTTAGATGGTCGCACTGTTGGACGAGAAGAGCTGAGATACGGCCGTGCGAAGTGCAGCTACTGTGCTGTGAATGTCTTCGGAGGTTGTATCACGACCTACACTGAGACGAATGGCTGATCTGGATTCTTCAATGGAATATCCGCATGCGAGCAAAACGCTGGAACCTGTCTGGTCCGAATGGCATGCCGCCCCGCGGCTCGCATGAAGATTCGGACAAAGGGCCAGGATCTCGCGACCTGAGTATTAAGAGAAGCCGAAAGAGGCCAATGTAACATGGAACAGAAAAAATGGTTCAGCTGTAACGCCCTTTCGGTCCCTAGCTGCCATACCACCCGAAGGATGCACGAGGGCTGGGATACTGCCAGGTTGCCCAAGCCTAGGCAGGGAAAGTCGAGAGGCAGAGGTCGGGTTCGAACCACGGACCTTCCGGTCAGTGAATTCACGTTCTAACCACTTCATCCATCTCGCCCCAACATGGAACAAAGCACTCACTTCACCTTTGAGGACATCTGTAATTGAAAAAAAAACTGGGAAAACCACGCAGTACCCACATGCTTGATCTGCAAGGTGTGGATCGGAAGAACTGAAACAAGACGCTAAGGTTTACGAGAGTTCCAGAGGCTTGCGCAGTTTGAAAAAAGTGAAGGCCGACATTAGCGAATATACACTCATTTGCAAACTAATTTGGTTTTTTTTCGAGAGACTCACCTGGAACCCAGCTGAATCACTCGTTGATGATGTTCTCAGGCAACTGAATGTGCTACACCAGGCCGCCTCATGTTTCAGTCGCTACGATATTCGAGATATCGCGATACATGTATATCTTTGTAATGTAATGCTCATAAGGTTGCTGAAAATCCGTCGATAGCCCACGACCGGTTTCGCCTTTTTTGGGGCTCATCAGGTAGGCACAGTCCCCGGGCTTCCGTCAACCTTATGTTCTACTTGAAACCAAATTGCACGAAATCAGCGAATATACACTCATTTGCAAATTAATTTGGTTTTTTCGAGAGAATCACCTGGAACCCAGCTGAATCTCTCGTTTGTGATGAGGCCAACATGTCCAAAACTCCACAGGACGACCTGGGTCAACGAGCTTCACAAGTTTTCCAGTCACACTGTGTTAGGCGGAATTCCACACGGATCCCGGTTTACCGCTCGCACTCACGTGCCGCTACGGCCGAGAAGTCCATCCCACGCAAGATTGGCCAAGAATTCGGGACGCTTGCCGGTCCGGCATCAAAACGAGATCTGATTGGTCAACAATCTGGACCCAGCAGCCAATCATGATCCAGTATTGGCCAAATGCCGGTTGCCGATGGCGCATCCAGAATGCACCAGAATTTCCAGAATGTTATAGCCGCCTACGCTTTACATATGAAGCGCTGCACAACTGTTCCTGACTTTGTTTTGGGCGTTAATATAACTTGTGCACCTGTGGTGGTTGTTTTGACGTGAACGCTAGTTTGAGAGGCTCAGACCGAGAACTAAGCTGAGAAAAATACCCTCACTACACACTGACCGACCCAACGAATTACGCGCATGATAATGCATTCTATCACTTGACCGCACAATCAAGTCCACTTGGTTGATGACGGAACGTTCGCAAGCCAAGCTCAGTGGAGAGGTCAACAGTCCCCCTCATCCGAGAAGGGAACATTTTCGACTAAATAAGCACAATTTGAAATAAGGGCTATAATCCTACAGAACACCTCAAATGCGATCAGGAAAATACACCACCCACCAATCAATACAAGTCCCCCAATCACCACAAAAATCCTAAATCTCCTCACTACCAACAAAATACAAGTCCCGTCCCATGAACCGAATTCATTCCTGGTCTACTGTTGTGACCGTGAGGGGGCGAGAAGCGTCGAGTCAACGGTGCTCGATCCGGATTGGCTAGCATTCTGACCAGTCAGGGCATGTCTTCTTTTGGCCCGCGTCCTGCACGTGACACATCCGTCCAAATGATGTGATGTTCGGTTATTAGGGTCAGCTGGCCTCCGTATATCTACTAAAAAGATCTACACTTCTTGCTGAGCGGAAGTGAGGAGCCTAGGTTCGCGGCCATTGTGTAGTTACTAAGTCGGAAACTTGAAAGAATGGCCCAGCGGCTGCACATGATACATAAACATTGGATGTTTACTTACTTTCAGCCCGGCTCAGTGATGTAAGCCTCGTTTAAGTTATTGCCGAGGTCGAATCCTTCATGGCGAAGCTCTGATACGACATATGCTGAGCCAAATCGATTGTCCAATCGTACGGAGAGCGCAAAAAGTGCTGTTCTTTGTGATTTCATGAGTGAGGCGCAATATCGCGCACTGCGATGACCATAGGAGAAGCCTCCACAGGACATCCCCGTACTACACTCACACACGCATTGGAATGACTTAGTGAATTGAGAAACAAGTTCGGAAAGTTGGCCAAAGGATGGGAGTTGGTAAGTAAGGAGTAGGGCGATTAATTAGAAGTCTGTAACCAGTACCGTGGATTACACAGCCACGGTAGACGTTTGGGAATAGCCAGAAAAAAACCGTCACTATAGGTGTTCAACTTACTATCGAGATATGGTGGTCCACTGAACGCTAAGTTGACGGTATTTGGTAGAACTGTGAGTCTTTGTGGATCCAGGCGAGTAAAACCATTCAGATTCGAGGACAGACCGCGATGGACACCAAAGATGATGATATTTGGATGGCCAGGCACCGGAGGAAAGGCCTTACAAAGCTGTTGGATCAGCTGTTCACGCATGCAGGACATGTGACCTATGTAGGATGCCAGATTTGCCGACACCAGTTCAGCAGCCTAGTAAAATGGACAGAACAAAGAGGTGAAGTCATGGAAATAGCAACGGTACAGTGTTTTTTGGAGGGAGGTCTATCTAGCACCGGGCCAACTTGGCAGTATCGGAACGGACCCAACGAGTAGCAAGGGTGACACAAGTGTCATTCTTATCGAGTACCTAGAGGTGTAAAAATAAGAAAGCAGATTACACATCCTATACACAACTGTTTCCAGATCTGCACTTCAGAAAGAGGCGTCTCACACGAGGCTGTACAACACCTAGCGAATAACCCTCTCAAAGTTAACCGCTCTCATATGGTGAGATGACACCCCGTTTCGCAATTGCCTGTTGTACTGAGCTACACCGACCGATCCAAGCGCACAATGCCGCATAGGGTTTATGCTGAGCTACCAAACTGATCAGCTGAACGTCCTGTGGCCTGTGTAAATCCGAAGGACGATCTATAATTGTGAGGTGATGTGGGGATAGGCAGATGAAACCCAAAGCTCGCTGACAAGCGCCACTCAAAAGAGGAATCTGAGGAACACACACGTGCCGACAAGGCCGGTACTCCTCCAACCGTTGCAGATTCACCACTCTGGAATGTTCAGAGTGTTAGAGCGGAATACCTACAGGTTCGTATATCATAAAACACGGTACAGTACCACACAACAGATCTGTGATACGAAAGCAATTGGGACAAGACAACACATGCTCAAGTGCGAACACGTTCACACGTTCAGACATGAGAATTCGGATGCGTCCAACGTGCTTTCGCGGAGTAGTGATTACACGTTCGCCTCGCACGTCAGATGTCCGGGGTTCCAATCTCGTCACGGCCGTTGGATATGCACTGCTGATGAGCTCTAATAAGAGCGAAACTCGAGTTCAGTGCTTCCCCCCCCCTTGGTGTGGATTCGCACTAATAATTGAGCCAGGACAGGAGGACGACTGTTCAAAAACGAGAGTGATGTGAAACTGAACATGCAAATAAAAAAAGAATATACCAGGGGCATCCAACCAGTGGTGAGGCTTGGGCGATGGTACTTCCCCGGACTGCGGCAAGAACTGTCTACCAACCTGCTCACATGTTCTTACTTAAACACTGACAGACTGTGGTTGGACAATCTTCCTCCATTCACCGTAAATGAGGTCCAAAGCTAAGTTAATTCGTCAGAACAGACTAGAGAGGGACTCCGTTATTGTGTGCTTCATATCAAACTGAGCAATCCGCCAGCATTCCACCAAGCTTCCCACACTGCTACCACGAGAATCGATTGGGCCCGAGATTGCCCAGCGGGTCAAATCGTGAATTTACTGGTCGAACGCAACTCCTGCCTTTCGTCAGCTCCTGCCTAGGCTTAGACAATCTGGAAGAACCTCTGCCTTTTCGGATGGCACGGTAGATAATAACCGTTCAGTTGTAACCCCCTTCCGGTGCCTAGCTGCCATGCCACACGAAGGTTGCACAAGGGCTAGGATACTTGCAGGTTTCCCAAGCCTAGAGAGGGGAAATCGAGAGGCAGGGGTCGGGTTCGAATCACGGACCTTACGGTCATTAAATTCGCGCTCTAACCATTTGGGCCACCTCACCATCTTGAGCCACCACCACTTGAGCCATATTTTGATGAAAGTACAAAGTTCGAACAGGAACTCCGATTTGACTAAAGCAAATCAAAGAGTGATGATCACAAACCAGCATATCACATTTACCGCGTTTTCCACATTGCGACAAAAAGAACGTGCACCCAGGGAGCAAAAACTAACCTTTGCAAGTCCTGCAATCATTGGTGTGTTTTCGGTGCTTGATTGAAAAGAGAAAGACCAAAAATTTGGTAGAAAAACATCACCAAACAGTATGTGGATGAAAAACTTGTTCACTTATCTGAATGGAACCGACATGATATCTCCGAAAGAACCGGTTTTCATCCGTCTATACCAATTTCCTGCTGTCCATTGTTTCATGCACAAAATATTTCTGCAACTGAGTAGCTGGAACCTCAGTTCCCACTGGGCAATTTAGGTCACCAAGCTACGCCATACGCGGATAGTCTCCCCATCCTACCGCGTCACCAGTTGTTGAAACAATCGGTACGTGATTAGTAACCTCTAAATTCAAACGCCGGTAATCAATAATCTCCTGCAAAGAGGAAGTATTGTGTAAAATAGTTCATTTAAATTGGTCCGGAGCCCGGTACAGCTCAGAGATCAAGAGGCAATCTTACAGATCTGCGGTTCGAACCCAACCTGAGCACCTGGACTGTTCCTGTCTAGGCCTGGGCAGCGTGACAGTATATTGGCCCTCATGCTTCTTTCGGGTGGCATGATGTCCAGGCATCGAAAGGGTGCCACGAACGAACTATTATTCGACAGCTGTCGAAAAGTTTTCAGCAACCTTATGAGTAGTGTGTTACGTTTAAATAACGTATCACGGTATCTCCAATACCATCCGGACTGAAACATGAGGTGGCCTGGTGCAGCTTAAAATCATCATGAACGAGAAATTCAGCTGGGTTCCAGGTGAGTCTCCCGCCAAAAACAAACCGATATGCGAATGAATTTTTCGGCCATCAGTAGTATTAGTATTAGCCAAAAGTACCGGACTACTCAGCGAACACACCAGTGGAAACGAGTAAATTCCAACTGGAAAATGGTGCGCAATTTGAACTGAATCATCGGGATATTGCTATATTAGGGAAGGTCGAACAAGAATATCACGTGAGGTTAATTTTCCCAAATCAACGGTAACAACCCAGGTAGTCGGCTGAATTCCATGAGTCTGAGCAACCGGAAGAAAGCAAGAAAAGTTGTTACCGACAGCTACTCTGGATGAAACTTTCTAAAATCAGTCAGTTGAACATACTGACGTACAAATGTACGAAATAAAAGTACTATAGGGGTAGGACTTACACACACGCACACGAGTTTGTCGTACGTCCCATACAATGGATCTGGCGAAAAGTATAAATCTTAGATAGTTACAGTGTGAAGGTTTGGGTTTTTTCAGTAGCGGCGTCAGTAGTAAGTAAGTTAAGCAAAAATTTAACTGGCTGATGTAGTGATATAGAGGTTCAACCACACAAATGAGGCAGTAACCTTGCGCTGAGTCAAAGTGCACAACATACTAACCAATTAGAAGCTCCAATGAGAGGTTCTCCCGGAATGTGAGGTCCATGTATCGATCTCTCTGATAACCTTCCAGATTCAGTGACCATCGGTTATCGAAATCCACCATGAACCAGCTGACCGAGTCAAGGAAACATCAACGGTGTGCTCACTCTTGTTCGAAAGAATTTTATAGGTCATAGGACACAGTTTCAAGGGATAGGAATGAAAGAACAAGCAAAGAAAGACAAAAATAAGTGAGTTTATCTCCCTTAGTAGGTGTAATCTGGAGAGTGGGGTTGGTATGACCGTTTCTAAGAGGTAAGCTGCCATAGATTTGCCGATGGAACTACAAGATCGCTGGTATCACACGTGTTTTTTCCGTACGAAACCACCTGAAGGACCACCAAACTCAGATTATCGAAAAGTGAAAAAAAATCGTTCAGCTGTAACACTCTTCCGGTGCCTAGCGGCCATGCTACCCGAAGAAAGCACGAAGGCTGGGATACTACCAGGTTGCCCAAGCCTAGACAGGGGAAGTCGAGAGACAGAAGTCGGGTTCGAACCACGGACCTTCCGGTCAGTGAATTCGCGCTCTAACCACTTGAGCCATCTCACCATCCCAAAAGGTGAACAGAAGAAAGGGATAGTTTTATAGATAACAGAAAGCTCAACCGATATTCCATAACCGCCAAGCCGAGCTCATGAGCTGCAGATAGTCTAATGGTTAAAGCGCGAACTTACTGACCAGAGTATCCATCAGCATCTTGACTGCTCCTCTCTAAGCTAGGTAGGTCAACTTGTCGATATCCCAGCCCTCGTGCTTCCTTCGAGCAGAACAATGCACTGTTACAAATGAACGACTTATTGATTGACTGATTGATTAGTTGATTGATTCCAGCTCCTTGAAATTCTCAAACTCTGGCCAAACACTGTCTCTGTGTGTGTTAAGCCGTGGTCGATACACCCATTGGTGGCGAAACTAGCCATTTGATGAATCTGTGCGAATCAATCACACAACTGACCAGTCATTCATGGCCAAACGGTGGCGGGTTCGCAACTCACCACTGGAATCGTGCACTGCTGATGATTCCCAATGAGGATGAGACAGCTACACAGTGCTTCTCAGATTTTCTGCAGAGATTGGTTTCACTTAAATGATAAGAAAAAATCGTTCAGCTGTAACACCCTTTCGGTGCCTAGCTGCCATGCTGGCCGAAGGAAGCACGAGGGCCAGGTCGCCCAAGCCTAGACAAGGAAAGTTGAGAGGCAGAGGTCGGGTTCGAACTAAAGACCTTCCGGTGAATAAATTCTCACTCTAACCACTTGAGCCATCTCGCCCCCAAGAACTTCTCTATACACTGTCAACGGAATCCGTACGTACCCAGCAGTTGGAATGGTGTTTTGCTTTGGAACACACAGTGTAGATGGGAAATGTTTCCTCTACTGCAGTCCTCCAGAATAAAAGTAAGCCATCGGTGAACGGCCTATGCGCACTTCTCGGGTGAACTGGGTGCAATATCTTGAAAATGAATGACCAATTGAACGAGGACAAGTGCTAGGCATGTCGCAGTTAACTTGTCGGTTGTCTGGCGTAAGCAGATGAGAGGTGGTAGGTCGTAGGCCGAACGATTATTAACTGATGGGGGGGGGGGCAAACGTTACGAGTGTGAACATGTTGCGATCTCTGGTGTGCGGTAGCATTCTGCCGATACCATCCACGTCTAGCCTGAAAGTACGGTACGTCACAAAATCCACACTGTGGTGTCGTACGTTCTCCAAAAAACACATACACTTAGGCAACCGAGTCTGAATTCAGTTTGCTTCGGCTTATTACATATACATCATCCTACCTCAAGCCAGTAGGAAGAATAGAACGCTTGTTCCACTAGTAGTTAGTATGCCAATGGTGATCGGTCAGTCTGGTGTATTTGGGGTAAAAAATCAAGTAGCGCAATGAAAATTCAGCAATCACAAGTGTATACAACCTGGTAGGCCATGACTGTGTCCAACGGTTAATTAACAGTCGATTAACTCCTACGAAGTAGTTGAATGGGTCTTCCTATGGTCTTCACATACAGTAATAGATTTGAACAGATGGGATCTCTGAAAAAATTGTCTGTTTTGAAAAGTTTAGAAACTGTAAGTTTCAAAGCTCCTAACAAACTCCCTTTTCAGAAAAGGGCCGGTACTATGTCCACTCCTCGTAACAAGCGCTCAACGTGTGCTCCGTTTCTACAGAGCTCCTCTCTATAGTGAGGACCACTCATTTTTCTCGTGACCCTACACTAAATGTTATCTGACCCAGAAACGTGCAAAATATTCAGAAATTATCGGAGAGGTTACTCATTCCAATCAAAAATCGACTTTGGTTCACGATACCCAAGTTCGAGCCCGTGATCTCAAAGCAACCTGTAGATTCTAAGTCTTCTGATGGACTTAGTACCAACCTTAAACCGAAATCGTTCAGCTGTAACACCCTTTCGGTGTCCGGTCGCCATGTCACCCGAAACAAGCACGAGGGCTCGCATACTTCCAGGTTGCCCGAGGCTAGACAGGAGAAGTCAAGATGCAGGGGTCGAGTTCGAATCACATACCTTCCAGTCAGTAAATTCGCCCTCTAACCACTGAGCCACCTCGCCCCTCAANTGTAGGTCGTAGGCCGAACGATTATTAACTGATGGGGGGGGGGGCAAACGTTACGAGTGTGAACATGTTGCGATCTCTGGTGTGCGGTAGCATTCTGCCGATACCATCCACGTCTAGCCTGAAAGTACGGTACGTCACAAAATCCACACTGTGGTGTCGTACGTTCTCCAAAAAACACATACACTTAGGCAACCGAGTCTGAATTCAGTTTGCTTCGGCTTATTACATATACATCATCCTACCTCAAGCCAGTAGGAAGAATAGAACGCTTGTTCCACTAGTAGTTAGTATGCCAATGGTGATCGGTCAGTCTGGTGTATTTGGGGTAAAAAATCAAGTAGCGCAATGAAAATTCAGCAATCACAAGTGTATACAACCTGGTAGGCCATGACTGTGTCCAACGGTTAATTAACAGTCGATTAACTCCTACGAAGTAGTTGAATGGGTCTTCCTATGGTCTTCACATACAGTAATAGATTTGAACAGATGGGATCTCTGAAAAAATTGTCTGTTTTGAAAAGTTTAGAAACTGTAAGTTTCAAAGCTCCTAACAAACTCCCTTTTCAGAAAAGGGCCGGTACTATGTCCACTCCTCGTAACAAGCGCTCAACGTGTGCTCCGTTTCTACAGAGCTCCTCTCTATAGTGAGGACCACTCATTTTTCTCGTGACCCTACACTAAATGTTATCTGACCCAGAAACGTGCAAAATATTCAGAAATTATCGGAGAGGTTACTCATTCCAATCAAAAATCGACTTTGGTTCACGATACCCAAGTTCGAGCCCGTGATCTCAAAGCAACCTGTAGATTCTAAGTCTTCTGATGGACTTAGTACCAACCTTAAACCGAAATCGTTCAGCTGTAACACCCTTTCGGTGTCCGGTCGCCATGTCACCCGAAACAAGCACGAGGGCTCGCATACTTCCAGGTTGCCCGAGGCTAGACAGAAGTCAAGATGCAGGGGTCGAGTTCGAATCACATACCTTCCAGTCAGTAAATTCGCCCTCTAACCACTGAGCCACCTCGCCCCTCAACCTTAAATAGTCACTTTGCTTAGTGCTGGCGTCATCTGTACATTTGAAGACAAACGCCGTTCATCAGTTACCTCCTTTGGGTGTTTACCAAATCGTCTGCAGTGACCGGTTTCGTACTAATGCATTTATAATTTATAAAGTGGCCCTAGTCTTGTTTGATATCTGACCATGGCGCCAGATGAAATGCCTTGCAACAAGTGTGCGAAATTTATAAGCACGACCAATAACAGTGAACATACGCAACGGATGGCAACGTGTATCAATCCGGAAGTCTTATAACTGAAATAAGGTCGCTTATCAAGCATTCATTAACGCAGCATAGTAAAAGTTCAACGCAAAACACGATAGGTGCGAGTGTGCATACATGTCACCCAGAACAAAACCCAGTGAAAATGTAGTGCGTCGGTGTATACCAAATCCGGACGAAACTTGTACAGAAACGGTCTGGTATAACCACCTGGGGGCGAGATGGCCCTAGTGGTTAGAGCGCGAATTTACTGACCGGAAGGTCCGTGGTTCGAACCCCACCCTGTCTAGGCTTGGGAAAACTGGCCGTATCACAGCCCTCGTGCTTCCTTCGGGTAGCATGGCAGCTAGGCACCGGAAGAGTATTACAGCTGAACGATTACAATAACCACCTATAAGTGTTCGTTAATCACACAGAGTTGATCTTTGGTACAGCCTCAACAATGGCACGGAGCTGAATAATGTGGGAACACACTGAGTGAGTGAGGGGACAAAACCGGTAGATGACCAATTTGAGTCTATTTGCCTGTCGCCACTCTTGGCCCTTACTCAAGCACGGAAAAGTGATGAACCAGTCGTTGAACACCATAACGCTTGCTCTAAAACCGTACGTTGGTGAACAGCAGGTAAGAGGTACTCATATGGTGGTAAGACTTTTTACAGGGAGACGTGGTGAAATAAAGTGCATAACTGCGACGTTCTCATAGACACCCAGGCTTAGTTCTAAGCCATCCGGCTAAGATGAACGCACGGCACTCGCAAGGAACAACTATGTTTGCTACTCGGATTCTTATCGGCATCAGTGATTTGGAGCTTGGGCACTGTCGAAACCGCTGATGGTTTGCCGCCACCAACAAGCAAACTGACAAACACACGCAAGAGAAGCTTCCAAGTGTGAGTTGTGCATCCTGACACAGCACAAGATATCCATTCCTATTTTGAGTGGGTTTTGCTGTTGTCATCCTGTTATTTTGGGAAAATGATCATCGGTAAGCGGACGCGAATCAAAATTGGCTTTCAATCCACCATAGGGCCTACCCTGGGCCAAACACGAAAAAAACTTGAAGAATGACACGATAACCCATCCACTGCCCATTCACACGATAGGACTTTGTATAAAAATTAAACCGGTGTGTATTGCACATACCGCATAAATCGTACTAGTTATTCAACCAGCAATCGATAGAGTAGCGCTCAATTTAGAGCAAAGACACGGTCTGTAATGCGATTGCCTGATCTGTGAAAATTAAACCGGTCCCAACAACGAAGAAGTCATAAGTCGGCTAAGGGACTGACATGAAGCTTCCAACCATGAAGGTTGAGATGTGGAGGACACGCCAGTTATTTAGAACCACATGTCCACCTGCCAGATCCATCTCTATCACAAGCGAGACAGTCAAGCCACTAAAGTCATTCATGAACCTGAATGAACCAATCTATTTCTGGACAGGGGTTTTGAATAAACTGACGAGTGAACTAATTTCGTCGTGTCTCAACCACCGTATGGCATCTTCGAAAAATCAATCTGCGAGTACATAGTACCAGTCTCCTACTGGAGGGATGAGAAAGCTCTACATCTGACAACTAATGTTATCCGAGTTGCGTTTTTATTATCCTATAGTGATTGGATCTATAATAAGTCAGTTCGGACTTGTTTCCATGATATTCAGAAGTTAGGAGGGCGAGGTGGCTCAGAGGCTAGAGTGTAAATTTACTGACTGGAAAGTCCGTGGTTCGAACCCGACCTCTGCCTCTCGACTTCCCCTGTTTAGGCTTGGACAACCTGGTAGTATCCCAGCCCTCGTGCGTCCCTCGGGTGGCATGGCAGCTAGGCACCGGAAGGGTGCCACAGCTGGAAGGGGGACAGTGACTAGACATCACTCTGGTGACTCACATACGTAGTCAAAGTGCAGAACTCTTCATGTGCGTCGCAACACGGCAGTTTATAGATAATCGAACCTCGGAAAGAGCACATTGGGGCAAGTATCAAATGCCCAATATTTAAGTGGAGTGGCTGGAGAATACATGAAGTTAGATGGCCGCAATTCAAGTAATGACTGGTTTTCTTAGTAATGGGTCTAACGATCCGAGACAACCTATTCACAAGGCGTCTAATTAGGTCTGACACGAAAGTTGGTTGCCACAAGATGAACCGTGCAACTTTTAAGTAACACGTACTGTGTAACGCAACTTCCTGTGTCGCGGTGCAAGAATAGCACCGGAAAACGGATTCATCTTCCGAGAATAGTCGTGAACTCATGAAACGAACTGCATCCGGCTTCCTGTGTTGCGTCAGAGCGCTTGGTTGTGTGGCACGAGATGGCGACCTGATGAATTAAACAAAACAAACTGCACCGTTCGAACGATTCAGTTCATCGTAGCGAACGGACGGTGGAATGTCATATTCGATATAATTAGAGGGAACCCTAGTCCATCCATCCTCGTTAGCGAAATCCGGAAGGCTCGTGTCCAGGTGTGCTGGAGGAGTTCTAAATTCTTAGGGCAACGCTATAAAAAGCGGGCATGCCTGAAATCCCCCGGAAACTATAGGTTAGAACGAAGACTCACTGAGGCAAGAAGCGAATACTACTTACGAGACATCAATGACAATAAGCTGTAGATAACCCAGATTGGTGATGCAGGCATCCAACTCCGCCAACTCAAGAGTAGTCCTCAACAATTTGTCGACTTGTGTTCGGAGGTTCTAAGATAAGCTTTCAGCTACGGTACTCTCTAGATGATCAGCTGTTCAGAAAATCAAGGGCTGATAGTTTGTTCAAGCCCAGACAGGAACAGTGGAAAATTCAAGGTCAGGTTCGAACCACAGATCTTCCCGTTACAAGCTTGGTGTGCTAACTTATGAGCAATTTCGAGTTCACTCAAGAACAAACTGTCCATGAAGGTCAATTCAACGGATTTATTCAAATTTACCTACCCCGGTGGACCGAATTCTCTTGCTCTAAAGTGTAGGCGAGTGTAAAAAAAAGGTTCGCAAACGTTGAGAACTGATAATAAGAACATCGCGTGTAGCCCAAGCTTGTCGCATCTTGTGAACGGTGGTGACCAAGTTGGTCGACCGATCAGTCAATTTCCCGTATGCCCATTCATTCCCAGCCAATTTGTTGCAAACCCAAGACAGTACTGAGTACTCAAGTAACCAACTAGAGAGCTAGAGCGGCACCACCAACATTGTTCAGTGTCTGGCTGCCATGCCACCTGAAGGAAACACGAGGGCTGGAATACCGCCAGGTTACCCAAGCCCAGATAGGGGAAGTCGAAATGTAGAGGTCGGGTTCGAACCGAGAACATTTCGGGCTCTAACCACTGAGTCATCTCTCCCCCAGCGGTTGATGAGTCTTGAACGTACTCAGAAACCAATACGGATTCAAGCAGCGTATAGGTAGGTTACTGAACGCAATAGTGTAGTCTGTATATCAGCCGTTCAAGGTTTTTTTCGAGGGAAGCGTTTTTCATCGGTCACTTTGAAACCTATGAGCTACAATTATGGGATTAAGAATTGATCACCATTGGTCTATAAGTGCACAGCCATAGTCCTCTTTGAACGTACTCGAAAACCAGTACGGATTCACGCAGCGTATAGATAGGTTACTGAACGCAATAATGTAGTCTGCATATCAGCCTTTCAAGTTTTTTTTCGAGGAAAGCGTTTTTCATCGGTCACTTTGAAACTTATAAGCTACAACTATGGGATCTGAGAATTGATCACCACTGGTCTATAAGTGCACGGCCACAGTCCTCGTCATCGTATTTCAGCTGTAATACCTTTTCAGTAACAAGCGACCCACGCGAAAGAATCACGAGGACTGTGATACTTTTAGATTGTGCAAGTTTAGGCAGGAGCAGTCAAGATATCATGGTTAGGCTCGAACCACGGACCTAATTATCAGTAAGTTCGCGCCTTAACCACTGAGCTACCTCAAACTCAGCGTGCATACTGGAGTTTTTGTTTTATTTTGCGTGGTTAGTACATATCAGAATACTGTAAAGAGTTGTGAACACCTGCTGAGCTGCAAGGTTCAGGTAGGCCTACTTTGAACTGACGACGATGGATCGATCAAGCCCCTCCAAAGGCATGAACTGACTTCCATTATTATACCAACCTAAGGGGTACAGACAAAGCCCAACGCAGAAGTCATTGATTAAGACCTACTCAACCCGCCGTATGCACTCAAAAGTAGTACATACAGGCATTCTGGCTGCTGTCATACACATGCTGGTGCCAGAATTTGTGAGACAAACATAACTAGTATACGCTATAAACTAACGGTACACTCGTTTTCGATGGAAATCGTTCACCTGTAGCACCCTTTCGGTGCCTAGCTGCCATGCCACATGAAGGAAGCATGAGGGCTGCGATACTGCCAGGTTGCCCAATCCTAGACAGGGGAAGACGAGAGGCAGAGGCAGAGTTCGAACTAAGAACCTTTCGGTCAGTAAATTCGTGTCAAAACAAGTCAAAAACACGTTGTTTCTACGCCCGTCTTACAACTGATGGTTTCTTCGGTGAGTGGGAACTGTGAGAACCACAGGTAAAAACTTGCCAACGGCAAGCCACCAAAGGATGGTAGGCGTTCCTTCAGAAGCACGTGCACTTTAGTGACGGAAACTCAAGCTGCGATGAAACGACCCAGAAACTTACCAGTCAGAGGGGCAAATGTAATCATGTGACGCTCACCGCATTGGGAAGGCTATCAATATAGTTTCATGGGGTTCCAATACGGTTAACGTCACCAGTGGCACCACACTTTTCACTGAATGCACACTCTTCATCTTTGGACAACCAAGTACAAACTACAAGGTAGGGGGAACTATGAAGAGAACAAGTGATCAGCAACACCAGCAAAGCCGCTGCATTCAGGGGGTAGTCCATCCACTCATCCAGCCGAAGCTGATCTATGTTCCCATCACTGATGGCTTGAAATAAAGGTTTAACGAGCTCCTGTAGAAGGAAAGCCAATAGACCGCTAGCCAGGTCATAGCTTCCAACACTTGCTTTCACCTTTTTGCGTTGGTGAAAACCCTTAGCCACACGGAGACAGTGAAAAGAACTTCCTCAGCAGAGACTACATTGAAGTAGCATTTAAGTGCGGTGCAAAGGGCTGCTACATTACTCGTTTCCGAATACATCTGCCCCCGATAATACTAAGATGTTGAGAGGCCACCCGGATGGATACCCTGGAGTCTAGCTATGCCGCTGATGATATCCTTTTGCCGGGTGGTGAATTGGAAGGACTTCAACGTGTGCTAAAATGATCTAACTCACTACGTAGCACTTGTAGGATTGGAAATCAACACGCCAAAGACCAAGTTCTTCCCCACCTGCATGAACGCTCCTATCCAATCGGTCAACATAAAAGGCAGAATAATTCAGCAATTTACCAACTTCCAATACCCTGATTCAATAATAATCATACACAACGGACAGGCAAGAGGAGAATCCGACGGCGTGTGGACAGTACCCGGTAAGTCCTCATACAGCTGAAATCTGTATTGTGGAATAGAACCGGGGTTAGCTTACACACAAAAATCCCGGGTCAGCAACGCAGCTAGCCATCCGGTCCTGATTTAATGATGCGAAAAATGGCCTGTACGAGCAGACGCCCACCGAAATCTGGAAGTAATTTACCACCGGAAGCTGCGATGTATAGCGA